CTCCTCTCCACCTTCGTCTCTCTTCTCCCTCTTCTGCCGCACAACCTTCCTCTCCTCTCGTTGCACTCTATCCCTCCCGGAGCCCCTCCCATTATGGACTCGCAATAATGCAACTATATGCAATCGCACGAATTGTAATGTAACTATCACCGTGTGCCTGAACGTGCGTACGAAAATATATCGATACTGAATACCCTAAATTCTCTTCGAACACAATTACTTAGATTAGCGAATAAAGACGGTGATGTCGGTGCAAATAATTCTAAAACAAATGTGGGAAAATTTTTGTCAAACTTAGACATGATGCTTCGGTAGAAAAATTGCAATCTTGAGAATAACACGTATCTTAAATGATATTTTAATATTATTTATTATTTAATTTTTTCTATTTTAAGAACCCAAGTGGAGAAACTTTATTAACGCGTAAAACAGATGTTTGCCATTTTATTACTTGCCCATTTATCGCAAATCTGCTAATGATGATAACGCAACCGCGGGCTCGTACTGGTTGTAACGTGCTGTAGCGCACTGAAAGCGTATTAGTGACGATGAGTGCAAGCATTACAAGTATATATATAGGTATATATACACATATATGTGTATACTCTGGCAAACAGCCTGCAAGGCCAGCCAGGATAGGCTGATTCATTCAATTCCTTCGCTCAGACTCGACGCTACGAGCTACCGACAACTGATTTTCTAGAACTACTTAGTATGCATTGGACAGCGCCGGGTACGACGCGATAGGATTTACCCTCTCTCGTCATCTAACGGGGGTTCCGCGGCTGCTGCGCATTCTGCGTCTGTCAGCCGACCGCGGCCAGTACGTTTCTTCTGTGTCGCGGCCGATTATGTCACGCATCCACTTAGTGGCACGTGTGTGTCGCAACGCCACCCGATTCGTAGATTGCTTGTAATCGCTTTAATTGTGCAACGAAGGTCGGATGGACACTATTAAGATTCAGAATGACATGTTGCGACGCGACTGACTCGGGTTCTAAATTTATCTATGAAAAGGAAAGTATGCACTTTTAAAGATCGTTGAGAAAAAGAAACTCAAAATTTCACTTTGCCTCAATAAATTATTATATGCATATAAAGGATAATACTTTTAATTGACGAAGATTAAGATTGTAGATTATCTCTCTGTCGCCCGCAATTTCGATCACAGGTTTTATCGATCTTACATGACAGATATATATCGCCGGTTATCTCAACGACGTTGCACTTATAAGGACTCGGGCGCGCGGCACTTACGCAAAACTCAGCTACCGAAATAGCAGCCGTGCCGCAGCGAGTTTCACGTCGGCCGACTGCGGGACGTTCATGAATAATCGCAGCGTTTAATTTTTGTCGACATCGACGCGATAGCATCGCACGGTACGGCGATATATTCAGCGACACGCTATTTGTTAACCATGCCGTAAAACGTGGCTAGAGCCCGGAGATATCTCGCCCGCGGCACGTGATCTGGAATAGCGTAGAGAGAAAGGAGAATAGGACGAGAGGCAGTGAGGAGGGAGGGAGAGGCTAGAGAAGAGAGAAAGACGGAGTTTTGTATATTGTGACAGATTAGACAGGTAGAGTGCGACTAATTGACTCGTTCCGATTTTTCCCGGCGTGCACACGCAGCCCGTTTAATGCGACCGGCCTATTGATGACTCTTCGTTTAATCTCACTCCGTTCTGCGTCCTCGCATAAAGGGCGCTCGTTCATCACCGGGAGATTATGATAGGAGTCGGGCTGAATGAAGACATTACGCATGCGATAGCTCAAGGATCCGTCCTGCACATCCGGCCACTCTACATATAATCCCTTTGTATCATCGGTCGGAGGAAAGACGCATAAGGCTGTAGATTTAATTCGTTGTGCGTGATGGTTTTGAATTCGCGCTGAATACCTAAACTCATATAAAAACACGTTTGACTCTTGCGACATCAAGGATATGACATCTGTGTTAATAAAAAAAAGAATTATATTTAAAGCTACTTAGCCAGTCTTCAAAAAATTGAATCTTTTAACTTATAAAATTATACATACATTTATATTTTTCAATCTGGGAAAAACTTGCAAGATAAATGATGCAGAAATCGATCGTGTCATATCAAAAAGGCATGGTTGAGTTCTATATTTCATACTAAGAATTCGTCACGGGCGACTGCATAAGTTAGGAGCGGAGAAAAATACAATTCTCTGAACGGTGCAAAAAAAAAAGGGAGTTTCGCGTCCTCGTGCAAGATACGCCTAGAGAGAGGAGCGGGGAGACGACGGGCGAGGAGCGAGGGAGAGAGACACAATTATTTGCATTTTAATTTGCATATTAAAACATGCCTCCTCGATCGGTCGACCCGGGTCCCGCGAAATACGATACCTCGCGCTCCGTGTCCGTCGCATTAGCGTTGTAGAGCCGAGTTATACACGACCGCAAAAGCAACCCGGCGGCCCTGAAACCGTTCACGCATGCCGATCTTGAAATATGCACCCGTGGACCAAGATTGCCGGATCTCGATAGCGCCCCGTGTTGTCCCGATCGATCTGCGCCGTGCTCGCGTACGCGCGCGCGCGTTCTCTCCGCCCGCCGATATTTGCCCAGGATACGATGGTGCGATACTAATAATTACGGTAATAATAGTGTCTTTGAGACATGAGACGGCCGCTCCCGCTATCACGCTTTTTAATCCCTTCTGCATCGCGTTAACCTACATTTTAGTCTTGCATCCTGCCGCTCCGTGTCTGATGCAGTACCAATTTTCTATGATAACCGGTAACAGGATATGATTAGTTTTTTTTTTTTACATCGTGTTACATTATTATTACTTTAACGAGAAAATGCGAGCCATCAAATTTAATACGATTAATTCTCACTACGTTCCAAATTGGTATAAAACGTTAATGTTATTATTCTCGATTGTGAGAAAAATACTTCTCGAAGCGGAGCTTTTAACTCTTATAATGTTCTACCATACCGTAATAGTCTGCTCAGCCGTGAACTTATCTGGACGGTAAAAATCGTCGTCGCACTTTCCCGGCATTGTTGATCTCTGCGGCGAGAATGATGCATGCAACGGTCACGTGAGCTATGCGAGAGGGCCGATGTGTTGCACATGACCGTCGAGAAGAAAACACCTCTTTGCTTCCCCATAGCTCCCCGTTATTATCGTTGTTTCGAGCCGTTAATATTAATGGACGTAAATGCACGTTGCCGTACTCGAAAGAGAAATAAAGTGGGACAAGGGACGGCGGAGGTGGATGCAGGGGATGAGCTGTGGCAAAAATGAGAGAGGCATGCCGGGGGGGCCACTGTGTCTGAAACCCCTCTCTTCACTATAATTGAATAGACGCAGTTGTGCGTACTGCGTGCTCGTAAAACATTAATGGCCAATAGCCGATGCGATCGTTTTGCGTTATTATTCCTTAAAGTCAAAGGCAACCGCGGTGTATTTAGCCGCGAATATTTTATGTTTGCGATCGTGGGCGAAACGAATAATAGGGCGAATGAATATTCGCCGATTGGAGAGAGTGAATATTTTCATACTTATAATTCATTAGATAAAATATGTGACGATAAGAAAATAATAAATGTAAAATTTTGCAACATTTCATTATTTGAATTTAATAAACATATTTTTTTTTCTTTTTTGTAGAATAATAGAAATTCTATAATTAAAAATTTATGTTAAATATCTTCGCTTTTATATTTCTAAAAGAAAAACAGTATGATTTAGACTACAGTTTTATAATATATTCTACGAATATATATAATAGTTGCAATATATAAAATTTATAAATAAAAATTTTTTTATACAGAATTTATCAAATTTATAGTAATATACGAGATATTAACAGTATTCTTAAAAGATATTGCACAATATTCGTTGTGCTGTATCTCAAAATTCACTTACCTGCATTACCTTCGCTGTAAGCTCGAGATTATCTTAATCTTATATCAATAAGGAATTCGACAGGGGACACGTTTTACGACGATATATTTCGTTGTAGAAACGTCCTATCTTTATTTCTATTTCGTAACGACTTTATTCAAATATACACAAAACCCCTGCATCGTTATCGCAGGCGCGCGCGAGTGGACGCCGAAGACGTCAGATTAGATAAGATTACATCCATTAGAATTCTCTGGGAATCTTTCGGCAAGCGAGTCCCGGTTCCCTCACGTTCTCCCGCGGGTATTTTCCATTAGGCGCATCTTTGTCCGTCGGTTCCCTCGATTTTTGCGCCCTTTCTTCATCATCCTCGCTTGAATAATACGACTGGCAACTCCGAGCGAGCCCCGTCATGCGAAAGCGCGAAGGAGAAGAAAACTAGTGAGGGAGCGAAAGAGAAAAACACAAGAAATCTTCTGGTTTCCTCGAAGCATTTCGAACCTACTATGTGCTAGCGAGGTTTGTAATCACGCGTTTAACAGCCAATTGCGCAACGTCACGCAATCGGGTACGAGAGCGCGCGAAACTTCGGGGTCATCGTACACGAAAAGGAAACCAAATGCCGCGAAGCATGACGAGCTAATGGATTAATCGTTACAAAGTATCGCCCTCGCCGGTCGAACGGTCGCTACCGCTGACCACCGCGTTCGAGCCCGAACGATCTCGATGATGACCTAGACCTTCGAAGGACGCCGGTAATTTCCTCTTCCTAGAAGCCGCCGACCAGCTCGTTTACATTCTACCGTCGATTTCTCCGTGCCGCACCGGTTGCGCGCTCCGCGATACATCGGCCTCGGACGTGTACTGAAAGTTTAGATCGACGTTCAACGACCCGCTTCACGTTCCCTTCGTACGACCCTACGTAGCCTTATAAATTGTCATCATCCGCTCGGTCAGAAAATTCCCCTCGCTCGTCGTATTCTTGCATCGTTGTATGAAACGTGAAAAAAAACGCACGATGAATATAAAAACTAGGATATTAAAATTACGTATAAAAAATATGCCAAACTGATTTTAAGAACTGGTAAAAAATATAAGATAGAAAAAATGTTGTAAGAAAGTGAGATATTTTCAAATCAAATAATCGATTAAATTTTCAGTAGTAAAAAATCTCAGATATATTGAATTTTGGAATTTGCTCCACTACTGAAACATGATCGATAATAATTTGCAACGGCGAATCCGACGGATCGGCGGATATTTTTTGAGCGAAGCCAATTCTGAGCCGGCGTCTTTTTCATCAATGTCACTCAGCGGCCGAGATGATCGCGGAGCTCGCTACTATTAACACGCCTCTCGCGAGACGACAGATTCTCTAATGACGGAAGCCACGAAGAAGCGCTTCTGCGTGCTATCCCCGGTCGGCGTGCCCCGCTACATCCGCTGCAGCAGCATGCACCGGGGCCCGTAATTACGGGATCATTTTCCTCGGTCAACAGCCTTGTAAATCATTCTGTACGCGCGCGCGGATCCGCGCGATACCCCGTGGTGGACGTTTGCGTTCGCGTCGGCGACTCCCCGACGTCCGGATCTTCTCCCGCGGCGAAAGAAATCGCCGACTGAGTAAGTTCCTCGACGATGAATCGGGCCGTAAATTCCGATCTTCGTCAACTCGCTCGCGGACGCGATCGATACGCTACTTCCGTCTCTCCGCGTTTCTTCTCCAACCGGGAAAACGCATCATATCTCCTCATCTGTTATCCTCCTTTACAATGGATCGAGAGTCGGCAGCTACTCAGGAAAATAATTTTACGTATACACGATCTTTACATTAGACACAATTTACAATCTTGCGTGTAAAAATAAAGTAAGGTTTTGATCGATGATGATAAATTTGATTTTTACATTCTTGTCGCGAAAAAATATTTATAAGAATACTGGCTCGACTATTCTGACGTTAGAGATCCCCAAACAATCTTTGCAAGATAAACGTTCGTCAGTGCCGCTCGAACTTGTAGACGTTTATCGATATCCGCAGCCGCGCCGGAGAATTCCCGCGACCTCTCGACTCCTTACACGTCACGTAATTTGTTCCGGTCGACCCTGAAGTCAGTTATCGTTGAGCCGCAGACGATTCCCCGCGGATGTTGGTTCTAGCACCGATGGACGGAGGCGTGTACTCAGCACACAGTATTGTAAATGCCCTCCTCGTCGTCGCCGGTGCTCACCGACACGTCGGACACCTCGGAATGCGCGAGTTTCACGTAACCCCGGTCTCGCTCGCTGGTGCCGCTCTTTCCCAAAGGTGGCGGTTTTTCCGCCTGCGATGAATCTCGTAACGGACTTGCGCCTAATTCGCAGATTTCGGCGTAGATCTCTTCCGGTTTCGGCGGCGGTGTGGGCGGCAACGGTGTTAGGCTGTCTCGTACTTTGGAGTACGGCGGGTCCAGATCCGGGCTACTTGTCTGCACCTCGAGAACGCTCGTAGAAACCGAACGTTGCACCTGTTGTCTGGACAAGATTTGCGACGCGTGCATCAGATTCGTTTCCGATTCCAGACTGGCGTATCTTTCCGGCGATCGCATGCCAATCTCCGGCCGTACGGCGAACGTGAAGGACGCCGACTTCTTCGCCGGGTTCCTACTTTTGCCACCCTGCGCTATCCTCGAGATCCTGTCGAGAAAGCTGTGGTTGTTACTGCTACTGCGGCTGTTGCTCCGATCGCGGATCGTCGTTTTCTTGATGTGCTCCAGCCCCTCCTTTAGGCTCTGTAGTATCGGCTTCGCCTCGGGCTTCGCTTTGATCTCCTTCAAGTGCAACTCTTTCAGCTGACCATTGTTAGACGCCGGTTTTGGCGGGGCGACTCGAGGCTCGGTCGCTCGTTGGTCTAAAGCTCTTCTACAAAGTGGTATCAAAGCGTATGATCGTCCCTGTTATTTTATTTCTCATACATAATGTGTATTAATTACCAAAATACAGTACAACTGATGAAGAAAAATATTTTAATCGCGTTAAGAGTCGAATAAACAAAATTCTTATTCCACTGGAAATTAGTTACATGCAAGAAATTTTATTAGATTAACTACTTCTTCATTAAATATAGATTTCTGCAAATCAAGAGAGAATATTCTCTCTATTACGTATTATTATTTTTTCAAGCCAATTAATTTTAAGATATGTTTTGTATAATATTTATTTCATTCAGTTTGGTTTTATGATTTTTTAAATTTAAGTAGTTAATACATTGCATGATAAATGAATGAATGTATTTAACATTTTTTATACAATTGAGGCTCTTACCTGCAAGCTGAGAGTAATCGCTGCATTTTCGGTGATGCGAGCAGTCTCGCTTCGGAAGGACATCCCAATCGTGCTCTTTTCACTCGAGGCGCGGTCGGACCGGTAGCGACGAGTTCCAAAAGTTCCGGTACCGTCGTGTTAGGTACAGGTCTTTCGGGCATTAGCGGCACCGCACAGCCGAGAACTATAGGTCCTCTGGTCGCGTTCTCCAGTTGCATCAGGCCACTATAATCTCGCGGCAACGGTATAGGCAAGGGTCCTGCGACTAGACGCACCTACGAATTATATACACGAAATATTGATTAAGAGAAAATTTTAGCAGGATGTAAGACTCTTACGTCGTAAAATTTGAAATAATTGGCAGAATTTTTAAGAAAACGCAAATGTGCTGTTGAAAAAGTAAATTTTAAGTATAACGAAAAAATATAAATAAAATTCCTGGCGTTATTGTACGGAAATATTTCAGATGAAATTGATATTAATTCGCATTCGCATAATTTCTTATTTTTATTGTCGTTTTAATAAATGATGATAGTCTCCAAGCAAGAAGAGATGGATGAAAACGACCGCGTTACATGCTATTAATCTTAAAGTGTCGCGGTAATGTTTACCCTCAAGGGAAGATCCCTCCTGGCGAGCTGGTGAACCCTGTAGAGCACCGCGTCGCTGCCGGTGTCGAGACTGCCGCTCTGACACGTCGCGTAGAATTCGCCTCTGGCCGAGAGCGGCGCGAACAGCTCGTGCCCGTGAGAGTCCAAGCACTGGGCATACTGATCCCTCTCCGAAGATCTCGAGCATTTGCCCTCAGGGACCATGTTGGTGGCGACCGGGGCCCGACGAGTGTCCTGGAACACGGCGGTCAGTCGCAGGACCTCACCGGCGCGCACCGTCGTTTTCGTATAATGAGCGCGCAAGTTTCCATTTTCTGCGACAGAAATCGATCGAAAATTGACACAATATTATTTTCGTATAATTTTAATAAATCGAAATTCAATTAATTCCCTGTCTTATCTTAGAAAACTGAAAAAGGATGGAAAATAGAGAATAGAGTATGATATTTGAGCTAATTTTAATCAATGTTAGCGGAAACGGCATTTAGAGATTTTTAATCGAGACAATTAATCGGAATGCGTTTAATACGTCGCCAAATTAGTAGCAAAGAGTGTTATGTCGCTTCCTTATAATTAATTGGCGCCGGCAAAAAGGGTTCTCCCGCCGCGAAAGGCGCGGCACGCGAGTTAATAACGTGCGTATGGCTAATTAGCTCATTAGCGTTAACTCATCCATATATTTACATAAGCAACGCTGGCGAACGACATCACGCAACACGTTAGATACCGATCAAGCTCGTGCAATATATATCTCAATTATTAAAATTAACAACACAACAGAAATCTATTCTTCTCAGAGACTTTAATTCTATTTCAAATCTTTTCCCACAAGTACACATAGTTTTATAAGAACATATTTGTCGAGAAAATCACGCGCTTGTGACGTAATAATATATATATGACCAAATCGGCCGCTTGATAACATCTTAATGTTCGAGGAACGAATTTCCATATGAACCCATGACGATCGTGTACCGTTGCGCTGCGCTGGCGCGTATGATCAAAAGGCGGGGCGACGAGCAATTAACGACAATAAACGCGTCGGATAACGGACACTGACGCCGACTCGACGCCGCCGTGGACTTACGGGACCCATCCGGACCTCAAGACGATGGAGCCGGGCCGAGAGGGACGCATACGCGCGGGAATCCCCTTTTTCCACCGCGACCATAATCGCAACGGCGGCGCGCATAATGGCATAATGCTCGCGCCGCAAGCCGTATCTACTATGTATATGCGTTCGCGGCCGTTTATGCACGCGCGTCGTAAGGACGGCTTTCACCGGGCCGCGTGCCTATTACGTTACGCGCTTGTCGCGCGCCTACGTTTAACGAATGAACGCGACGGCGCGAGTCGTACGCCGCGAGAGAGTCGCAGATTACGGACACATTGACATTCGTGTCACGGCCAGTCGCTGCACTCGAGAAAATGATCTAATCCGCGAGACGGGATGCGCACGCTCGCTTATACATGTCGTTCACGCTCTGTGAAGAGAGAGAGAGCGTTGAGCCCCTTATGAGTAAACAATTGTCTGTCCGTGGAAAATCGAAATTGTTGCCGTCATCGAGCAAATAAGGAATACGAGTTGAGCTTGATTAGTCATCTGTTTCATTTTACGTTTCTGCTCAAACGCTACATTCTCGAAGGATGCGAGGAGAAGGTCGCTCATTTTGGAAAAATTTAGACAGTTAACAAACGAATGATAACCGCAGCCACGATAGTTGGCCTGTGGAAGATGCGGACTTGGGCTGGCCAGGATAATAAATTCGGCGGATGCCAGATGTAACGTGAGATATGTGGGTAATTTCCGTCCGGTTAACACGCCAGAACGCGCGCGCGGCTAAAGAATTATGCAAATTACTAAACTAATTAGTTTTGAATTATTGCCGGGTTGAATAAACATGTCACGATTATAATTTAATAATTATATTATAATTATATATAAATTGCGATAACTCCGTGACAGATAATTCATGAATTATATAAAGAGAGGCACTTTGAGTGGTTTTGCGATAAAATAACTTACCCATTTTGGAGTGCGTCAACGTGTAAGCTCTCAATGGTTTTGCGAGCAAAAACGCCGGTACTCCGGCGCGCACTAAGGCGCCGACTCTTCTGTACACTCTGGCATTTCCGGTGCCGCTGTTGTTGGAGACCACAGAGAACCAACCTGCAACATACGAAAGATTACACGTTACGTACAATTAGAGAAGAATGCAGTTGAGAAAACCACTTCTCGAATACATAAACGTGAAAAATGAGATTCTCGTATCTTCTTTCATCTTTTCTATGAGTGTATGACATTCTTTCCGTTTGTAAAAAATCAAGATTAAGAGTTTCGTGCTCTCTGGAGAAGACTCTCTCGTCGTGAAACACGAGACATTTCATTGACGCAATATTCACGAGGTTTCGCTTTCTCGTGGGATGACGCGGTACGTATGTCGGTCGTGCGCATCGCAATTCCCCGCGCCTGGTTTCGTCTAGCGTGTTCGTTAACGCTCCTCGGCTTCATTCTGCGCGCAAAACGTGACAAACGTTACCGTTGCTGTACGCGCGCGCCGTGAAAACTCGTTCCACATTAAGGCGCGCGCTTTCGCATAGCGGGGAGAAAAACCGGCCGTCGCGCCGACTGGTTTCATAAACCTACGTTCGAGCGTGCCATTAAAATCACCGCGGCCAACTAATAATCCTTTGCGAAATCACAATGTCAATTCGACCCACTTTGTTAATACGAGCGCGGCTCTCCGCGCCTTGAAACGAACATCGACGTTTATAGCCCGATCTAACGAGATCCTAAGACCCAGTTTCATAAAGGTAATTTAAATCGCCGTATAACGCTGATCGAGTTATGCCTCTGCATCACGCCTGACTGCAATTTTCGTTAAACCTGCTACTTTTACGCACACCTAATGCTACCGTCGCGAATTCCTTTTCTTCAATCCTCGACAGAGCGGTTTAAATTACACATTTTTCTATAATTTATACAATATTTATATAATTTAATATACACATAAATTAATAAATATTTTACGTTTTTTTTAAATGTTTTTCTATCAAATTTTACGTACTGAATATGTTAAAAATGCACGTGTTAAAAAAGTAATCCTCACAATATTGTTTGATTGAGTTTGACTGATTGTAAGTTTCAAACATCCGTGAGATTGATGGAGATGATTGAACTCACGAGAACTCTCGACGACGATCCAAGGATAGCAGCGTCACGCTAGCTCAGATTAAATCGGTAATCCGTCGTCGATTTGCGGCACGGCAAGAGTGATAGCGCGAAAATTTATAGCCGAATATAAATGTGTGTGCTCGCTTCGGCACGGCACGGTATTTACAATACGGGCATATAAATCGTCGAATCGTTTTGCAAGCGATTCATACATCGCGTTTCCACCATTTTAAGTTGATTTACAATGGGTCTGTTGCGCGAATCTTTGCAATGATCATTCCGCGACCTTTCCGCGAACGGATATTACGAATGTTTTATCGGCTATCGGCTCGTCCGGACATTTACGGCCAATTTCGGATTTATCGTTAATCGGCTTCACGATTAAATTGTGATGTCTTTACGGAAGACAGTGATAAACGCGCGCTGCGAGTTAACACTTTGCAATAAATTCGCAGAAGTATGTGTAATTAGGTCGTTCTCTTTTTTTAATTCGTGCTTTCTTTGCATCGTCGGGACAAATTTGGGAGGCATTAAACGCGATTATACTCGCGCATGTCGTCGCAATAAAACCGTCGCGCGTTCCATTCGCCGCAAAGATACGAGGTGCGAGAAAACTCCGTCTCCGACGTGTTTTTTCCATGTACAATTTTCAAGCAAAAGCAAAACCGTGCAGGAATATGAGATGTTATAAATGAGGAAAATACACGAGGCAAGTTTCGATTAATTGAACGTGACCGGTTCTGAATGAAGAGAAAGTATCTCGCGAGGCATAACGACGAAGCTGTTCAATAGCGCTTATTAACACAGATATTTCTATTGGCATTGCGGTACTATTATAGTGCAAATTATTATAAAATATATCATTCTCGGATCGCAATTGTAGCTAATGGCTGTCAGATCATTTACGCAAGCATCACGGTGTGTGTGCACTAATGCCATTACGCGCAATTTATGATCCGCGCGCGTTTTCGCGATTTCGCCGGAAGGTGCGTAATAAAGATGAGAAAATGCACATAGGAAGGCGCGTTTTGCGTGTCTCAGCGACTTCCGTAAGGCGTGTGATACAAATCGATCGAGGAACTTTCTCGCGGGATGTATCGCCTACGTCTACAAGGAAATCGATTACGATCGTATCCATTATGACTTTTATCAGGCCGCATTCATTCATCAGTAAGCTCGTGTTCGCCTTGGCTGAGATCGATCTCACCTTCAATTTCGCTTGTTACACATCCTGCCCTCCTCTGTACGCCTACTACTCGGTGTCAGGTTCAGAAACCGGTAGTAATTCACGTTTGACTTAATTCAATTCAGGATAAATAATCTTATTGATGTCGCTGTCGATGTTACGACGTTCTCTTCCTCTTTGTTTTTTTCTAAATAAACCGGCTTCTCTTTTTCTTTCCTTCGATTTCTCTCATTTATTCTATTTACTTCGATCGGTTTAATTATTAGTATTTATCATGAAGATGCATTTCAAAACTATTAAATGCATAAATTTAATTAAAATAATACAACGTGATTTATACGGAAAGAGTTGAAGATCCTGTCGTCGAATAAAAAACGTGAAAGACCATCATCCGCGGCTACATAATTATTTACGGCATTTGGTACGATGGCCAGCTTCGGAATCATTATGCGATACGAACCGTTATCCAAACACGTCACAGTATTAGAGTACAAGTCTGATCGCTGAATCGACGATCAAAACTCCGTGTAAGCTAGGTATAATCATGATCATCTTTTGCGGTTTGAAATAATTTCACCAAGATTGAGATAATCCAAATAATTTACATGCTAAAAAATTTATTACATATAAAATTTATAAAATAAGAACTCTTATATATAATAGACTGAAAATTTTTATTTTGATTCAGCGTTAGCTTACGTAACAGACAATTCACGTGTCAGTTGAAAAAAAATCAAGGCTATTATGAATAGGAAGAAACAAATCAACACGCCCACATATAGCACTGATAGTCAACAAGATCATTAAAGAACTTTGACTAGAAACAAGACATTCATATTAACGAGATTCGGTAAGATTAATGCGTTCCGCGAGTGGCTTTGATTAAGTATTCATTATTTATATATTCACCGGCTCGAAATTTGACTTACAAAAAAATGATGTATTACCGTAAGCAGCAATATTATCGATCGATCAATCTTTTCATCAGCATATAACACCGACTTATCTAGTCTGAATATTATATAAGCGCGTAGTCGTATGCTAATCATCCGAGAAGAAAAAGAGCGGATCGCTCGAATGTTCATTAAAACGGCGATAAGTCCATTGCCAAATACGCGTCAAACCAGATTATACGGATCGCTCTCATTATACCGGAGGTCAGGGCGAGCCCGAAGTAAGAGTGAATTCCATCGGCGACTTTCACGTTGTGCAATCACCGCCCTCTGGTCCCGCATGCTTACGCACGAGTGTGCGTACCGATTAGCGTCCGTGTATACACTCTCGCATGTACAATCAATAGTCAAGAGTCGGATCTATATGAAACTAATGACACTTAAGTTTAGACGCATAAATTTTCATAGAAAAATGATCTTTATTGTATTGATTCATCAAACTTTGAAGTTGAATATTACGCAGACAGGAGACGATGTTTCTTTCAATTCAATCTTGCTTGGAGAAATATGTTTCTGCGGCAGCTCGTTAAATTTTGAAAAGTCAGCATCCGATCCTGCGAGCGATCATTAATTCTCAATCACGAGAGAGAGAGAGAGAGAGAGAGGGAGACTCGTAGAAAAATACTATGACACGATCGGTATCTTGACGGGCGAGCACGAAAAGAATCAACGTGGGATATTGTCGCGCAATTAACATTTTGCTCACCCCGATCGTTTCCCGGCATTACGTCACGGCCGTTAGTTTCTGCCTCCTCAACAAGCGGCGATAATAAGCGCTCGGCGTGTGCTCCTTGATTTACAACGCTCGGCGAACAATTCGTTTAGACCCGCCGGGACTCTCGAGTTATTTAGCTACCGCGCTACTCGGTGCATGAAATTATCCGTCTGCGACTGAGGATTCTTGTTCACGCTGCCGCATTCGATCCGCTGACGTTAAGCCAGCCACATTGTCGGTAAACTGGAGCAGATCGCTGATTAAGTAATGATAGACCGCTGCCGCTATGACCGTTATTCGTTCTTTGCCTCGGTAATTCTGCAAGATTGTAGTGCCGTTGTCAAGGATCGCGAGCGGATTTTATTTCATAATCTCAATGGCACTAACCTCATTCAATTTTATTGTTGCGGCAATAAAGTTTACGATAGAGATATTTGCTGCATTACGAAAAGTCGTTATTAAGTAATTAAGTAATTTTGCATTATCGCGCTGATTCAACCAAGGATTTACCGTTGAACGAATAAATATCATCGTAGCGTTCAGCCGAATTTGAACTGATTTTCCGCCGCATACGTGAGATTCTCGAAGGGATTGGCCGGTGTGGAATTTCGCTCTCGACGGCGAGCTCCCGATCTATATTCCATCCCGACTGACACCTTCAATTTGCCGCGTTCCTGGCCGCGAGTGACGTGCAAAACGGCCGGATGGCACGAGGGGGGAACGAGAGGCGGGCCCCGCCTTTTTTTCCGCAGGCTGCTCGCTCGCTCGCGCGCGGCCGATCTTCCGCGGACATGATGAGGTATAAATGGTACGTGTCAACGTGCCAACGCGGAGAGACGGCCGATCCCTGACCACCGTTCAACGTACAATTGCGTAAGGCAGGCCCCATTTTCTGCTCGCGTCCCGCTCGTGCGTCCGGCCGTGCGTGAGGAGATTCATGCCCTTATGCCATCGCCAATTTCGCATGCAAATGTCCAGCCGTCCGCCCGCGTAGCACGAGGATCACAATAAATAACGATCAACGGGCAAATTACCGCCCTGCGTGACTTTTTCTGCGCGATGTACGAACGGTCTCCCTCATCCTCTTCCACCCCGTCCCTCTTGCAGCTCTCTGATCGCTGCGTCATTGACTTTTTCCTCTTTCAGCCTCATACGCATAGCTCGTTATATACACGCATACGTGATATTCCGTAAGTTATGTATGTACATTAATTTACTAAAATATGGCTGCAGTCGAGATATATTATATGAACAGAAATTTTATCGATCTATATATCGTAAAAATTTTAGTTTTATAACAACTAACTGTTATGTTCGTGTGGAAACCGGATTTCATAAAGTTGGCGCACATACAATTTAAATGATTTTTTCCGAAGAAATAGTATATTATATTGTAAAGTATTTTCATTTCCGCTTGCTCTCAGAACCACATAACAGAAAATTATTCTCACGACAGTGTATGTTGATCGCAAATTCTCGCACGCAGTTCTTCGTAAAACATCGTCTGTATCTTCGCTTTCACTTTCATTTTCCTTACCAACGGCATTTCGTTCAACTGATGATGAAACGACATCAGGAAATTATAATCCTCGTCCAGGTGCACACCTTCAGACTTTGCATTTTCGCTACTCGCCGCACCGCCGACGTCCTTCCTTAATTTGCATCGCTTTGGAGTGAAGGACGTCACTGTTGACGATTTATCGGCGAGTGTACGCGTTTGCACGCGATCGTTATTGCCATTGAGCGAATAACTGTTCAGTTGACGAGAAAAAATTCTCGAGTTTGCGATTTCTCCGTGTTGGGCGCAATCACGGGACTGACAGTCTTGATTACCGATAGTTGTTGCCGTTTGCTCCTTTTCTGTAAAGATTTTATCCTGCAAAATTCGAGACGTCTCGAATTGATGATAAACGGCACGCTTGATCGGCGGATATGCACTTTCGATCGTCATCGACGACTTTTCAATTACATTTCGTGCGACATTTGCACTCCCTGAAACGTCATATTGAATTTCTGTAAAGTCATTCTTTTTCACTTCCAGCTTTCCCTCGATACATGAATTTCTCATACTTCTTTTACCTTTTATTAAAACTTCTTTCTTCTCTGCTTTCCAGGAACATGGTTGTATGACATAACTCGCTTTTGTAAAATTCTTCCGGTAAATCTCATCAATCTTTCCATTCTTATTTAACTCTATTAAATGTAAATCAGAAGTGTCTGTACTTTCATCTCCACTCGTCTCATCTTTGAAGCCTTCGGAAGTGCGTATGAATTCTAAAACCTTTTCGTTTCTCGAATCCTGATCGATTATCATCCGTCTTTCAGTATTTTCTCCGGATCTTTTATTAGTATCGTTATTTGAACGAAAATATCGAGTTGAAATCTGCTTGTCGATCTCTGATATGTTCGAAAGCACTCTCGCACTGTCGGCTCCCGAAGCGATTGCACTACTGTTGCGACTTTCTCGCGAACATGACAACGGAATGCACGTAGTGCTTTTTTTCTTGATGGGCAGCAATGTGTTTATGTGCGCGTCCAAGTTTGATCTTCGTTTTCTCCTAAGTCGTTTATCTCTGTCAACAGCGATCGATTTCGTTCGGCCACCCGTCGCGGACAAAGATTGCACACGTCTAGAAAATAATCCCAAGATCTCTTTATCGCTGTTTCGCCATGTCAATTTCCGGTTATCTCTCGATTGCGTAAGTACGAAATCGGACAGCGAATTTCGAAGCGCTCGTACGGCTTCCTTATTTCCGACGTACGTTTTACAATTGCGTTTGCAGGATTTTTTGTTTCTCGTATACATTGTCTTGAACAATTTAGTTAAATTAAGAAATTAAGAATATCTTTTTGCTGAATTATCATTCAAAATCACTAACAGTAATTTTTATGACTGGGTTATCCATGTAAAATCTTAGTTTCTCAGATGCTTGAAATATCAGACGACTTTTCTAATCAGTTTTATGTCCTCATCTCTTGAAAATCAGAAAAACAAATAATAATTATTTCTTTACGACGAAAAACTACAAATATTTGTGTCTAATATGATAGATGACAGTGCAAAGATGACAGCAAACAGGTTATTATTTAATAACATAACTTCATGCGGGTTATCTTTATTAGTTCAAATATTAAACTCATTAATTTTAAAAATGAAAGAGTAACCAAATATTATTTTTATGAACCGTGTAATCATTATTGAAATATTTCTTGTACAATAGTTTTGTACAAAGCTATAAATCTATACTGAAATGTCTAAGTTTCTATTGATATTAGAGATATAAATCATAAATATTTTCCTCGTCGAGTTCTTCTCAAGGTAATGCATAATCCCCAATGTGTTACCGCCAATCTGATAAACGTGTTATACCGTGCAGGAAACTTCCGCGAAGTACTTTTCAGTGAGTTCTATACTGATGAATACAGAAATTCAAACGGTATTGTAGGAGCGCTTCCTTCTTTCCCAAATTGTAATTCAAGTAAAATCTGTCGCAAAAGAGAATTGAAATCTTACATAATCCATATCACTTAGAAGCAAGAGAAATCTTTAAAATAGGAGACAAAAATTCTAATCAAATTTAAATATTTTGCAAGTTTGAAGAGCGTTTTAAAAATCATAGAGAAAATTATAGAGAACACTGCGATCAATTTGCTAAGAAATTAGATATTTGTGTACAGCACCGCTGTGTGTATAGCATCAAGAAAAATAACATTATAACTTTCCTTTCGCAGTTTTACGCAGATCGCGATGATATATGTTTCTTCATATAGTAGATTGTAATACGACGCAATGTTGTAGGCGTAACACGATGCGTGACACAGCTTATGCAATTGCATAACGCATGGGGCACGCAGGTAGCGTAATTATATTCGTGTACGCGCATACCCAGCGCGGCTTCCTAGTTAACCTATCAACCTCTTTCACTAGTATGCAAGTGAAAGAGGAACGCATTAAGAGAAAAAGAGAGCGAGGAAAGAAGAGGTAGGTCTCGTCTATCTCACAGAAGTCGGCAAGTCGACTATCGTTTGTACGAATGCATTGTCAACTTGCTACATGGATGTCACGAATCAAGAATTCTTTGTCAAGCGGGTTCCGTAAGATTTCATACAGATATTCTAATGGTTTGTGATTTGCATCGCGTGCCATTTGTTCTTATGCACGATTTTCGAAGTTATCATCTTTGCTCTAAGGGGCTTTCACACAACCATAAAAAAGTCATCACGATGTCGACATCCGCTTCACGACAATAAAATAAGATTTCCATTGAGAAAATGTTTGTAATTGTTTGAGAAAAATCTTCTATTGAATTTTTTTATGCATTTAATAGTATTAATTTTAATGACAATTTATCTTTTATTTGATTAAATTCAAATATTTTGAAAGAGATTCAATCAAACACATTAAATACTCATTAATTAATATAAAATTATAAAGATGTGTCATCTTTTTGAACGACAATAAATATTGCGAACATTGTTGTAAGAATATTTTAATATTGATAATTTAATTTATAATTTTTTTGTTTTTGTGCGGCAATATTGATTTGCATGGATGCAAATTTTACATTATTCCGTCGCAAATATGAACGTATGGTGTTCTAGCATTCTTATAATCTTATAGTCTTCTTATTCTTATAGTCTTTGTAAACAAATCACAAATTTCGGCAGAATAAACATTCTCGGTCATAGCATTCTGACTTTCGACATTTTTCTATTTTTCGCAATTGTCGTTCTTCTTGAAATGACGATCGCAAATCGCACGGATTTGAAACGATAATAAGCCTTCATTATTCATATTCATAAGTATATCAAAATTCTATTTTCGTTTTTCTCGTAAATTAATTTATAAACTACATAAAGCTTTAAAATCATTTAGTTTGTTAATTATATTCCCAATAGGAATCATTGTTTTATGAAAATTTTGCCATGTAATGCTACAAGCAATCGCGCTATAATTTATAATTTTTCTTAGTTTATTGTAGTTCGGAATTTTTCCGTCGACGCGCAAAAGTCAATAGACGCGCTGTTAACTTCGCATTGCGTCGTCGGCAGCGTGGACAAACATACCATGTTCCGACGTTCGTCTCCATAATCGAATCGCAAATTTTGACACGGTGGAGAGTCAACGACATAGCATTTGTAAGTTTTAAAACACTTTCCTATTTTATTTTCAAAACAGCGATCGCGTTTGTTGTAGTTCGCAATGTTTCCGTCGTCGCGCAAAAGTCAATAGACGCACTGTTAACTTCGCATTACGTCGTCGATAGCGTGGACAAACATATGATGTTCCGACGTTCGTCTCCATAATCGAATCGCAAATTTTGACACGGTGAAGAGTCAACGGCATAGCATTTGTAAGTTTTAAAACACTTTCCTATTCCATTTTCAAAACAGCGATCGCTAAGTTATGTTTTACATAAATTTATTCTTTTATCGAATTTTGATCGCCAACATTCTAATACTGTAATGTGTAATTTTCATGGGAAGATATCAAAGTTTTATTTCTCTATTCTGTTTTTCTCGTCGATTACACAATGAATTTTATACTTATTTAATTTGTCGGTATAATTTCTTTTCGGCATGACAATTAGTACGACAATAATTGGTAGGCCGGAGTGTCGCTGCTGACGCGCACGAACTTCAATGCGCGCTGTTCATTTCGCATCACTTCGCATTATATCGCAAGCGTAAGACGAACGGTGTTCTCTGGCGGGTTCGCCATAATTGAATCACAAGTTTTGATACGAAGTTTTGGAAAAGTATCTTGGTGTGATATTAACGACTTAATCACACTTTGCTCGTCCGTTTTCATCAATTGTATTTATCGCGCAAACTTTATACGGTTCTGAAAAGGTAGTCAACTCCAACTCGTTTATATGTTCGTAATATTTGTGAGTATATGAAAGTTCTATTTCTTGACGCCATTTTTCTCGTAATTAAATAAAATTTTTAACTTATTCGACATGTTTATTATGTTTATAGAATATAATTACTTTATTTCGTAAAAACTTCGCGCGGCTAAGCGCTCTAACCTCACTTTGTTTGTTTACGAAATAACGGTTGTTTTCGAAACGCTATAGCTATGTTATTTTTCGTGGAAAATGTCGTAAAGCTATTTTCCTGGAAAACATTTCATCGTAATTCGGCGCTTTCTGCCGATACACATGAAACACAACAAACGGGTAGTAAACTGTGCGTTGTAGCGTCGCAGACAAATATTACTTATTGAAGCATTTAGACGTTTTGTTCGTGAATATATCGCGGACATAATGATACGAAAATATTGCTGTACAGTATGAAATCATACGAAATATTTAAATACGTTTATGCATATTCATAGTATGAATATGTATGTTTATAGTGCTTATACATTTTAGACTGGATATCATCGATGGAAACTTGCGGCCTTTTCCTGCTTTGAGAGAAAGAGACGATGCAATCGACAATGCTGATCCCGGACTGTGGAACTGCTCAGATATTATTCTCGGGTACGCAATAGTACACAATATATGCTTCAGCGTAGCAAAATTTGGAGGGGCGCAAAATTGTAATAGACCCCGATAATTTTTGAAGTGTGTAAAAACCGCGTGGTGGCGTGGCGTTTTTTTTTTGCTTAGCGCTTGGAGCGTCCGAACCACTTCCAGCGTAGGGGCACTTCTGACGGTCGCAACGCCCCCGATCACAATATAATATAACAAAGCTTTAGAGGTTTAGATGAATAATACAATTATATTCCTTAATTTATCTCAAGTGAACTTGAGTAAAATTTAAATTTAAAACTTATTACTCGCTACTTTTACTGAAGTAATATTGATTTTAAATTGGTTAAAGGATTATTAAAAAGACATTTACAAATGTCTCATGAAATTCTTATTTCAGTCTTTTGATCAGGCTTTTCTTAAATTGTGCTTCAAAAACAATAGATATTTATTAGATAAAATATTTTGGATGTCATTGTAGTATAAATGTATTTGTATATTTTACAGATAAACCTTCGCGCTTTAAATTGCCATATATAAAGTTTAATGTGCGCAGTAATTATTTTATAAATAATAATTATTTCAAACACTAATCTGCATTTATTTTTATTTTACAGACCAACTTTGTGCGCGTAATCGGTGCTACAAAATATATTCGTTCCGTCGTATAGTATAACAAAATGCACGTCGGGAGTGCCGTTAATGCCGAGAGTTATAGCGAATCTATAGATGAACGCATTTTTGCTGTATGACAAATATTGGGACACGATTTTTTTTGACTTTAGGCTTGGCTCGGGGGAGGGAAAGGTCGGTTTCAATCATAAAATCTCGACTACGGCAGGGCAATCTTCGGTTCTACGTGCAGCGCGCTAGTTGTACAGATAGCCGGACTGTCGAAGGTAGTCGAGGACGGCTACCGGAGTTAGTCAAACGCTACCGATTGCTTTTCAGATGTCTTGTATCTAGTCGGTTGATTGGATGACTAATCACCTCATCTTCTTCAAGCTTATCTTTGCCTTCTGTTTTGAGAGAATCGTGCCCCAATTGGTAAATGTGGTCGTCTGAAACGCGGACGGAATTCGCGCGTAACGTCACAGCTTGGACAATTCGGTTCGATTCGCCTGTGATGTCGGGAGTGCCGTTTTAAGTATCGCGCGATTTTTCGTATTCAGGTACGCATGCGAGCAATGCATGCGCCGCGAACGCGTGTGATTCAATGTGAGTGCTTCGAAGGACCACTGAGAAGAGGAGGAGGCTCAGGAGGAGCATCGGGCGCCGGCGGAGCAACTTTACGGTAAATAATAATTCATTTATTTGTTGAAAATGTTGTAAAAGACTTAAAAGACTTAAAATATTTACATTAGTTAATATCTATTATTATTAGAATTTATTTACATATTTATTACTTTTTATTTTAATAATTAAACTTTTTCAATAATTCTTTTATTCCATATTTGCTTACAAAAAGAATTAAAAGTTTAATGTACTCAATTATGATTTGATAAATATTCATTATGAACGCAACTATAATCTTGACTTATTTTCGTATTTTACAGATCATCAACTATGCAGATCAACAGAATGACAACTCCGCTGCTGCGCATCAATCGGTGAGTGAGTTTATAATTTGTCTTGATTGTTATTAAGATAATGGATCTATAAGATACATACTATAAAATTTAACACACTATCGACGAATTTAATACACTATATATTTCTCAAGTGTCATAAGTTGTGTTATAAGATACATAGTTTCAAAATATTAGTATAATGCATCAATCAGTAACGGTTAACATTGTAAGACAATTCGCGGTTTTAGTGTGTACGTTTTCATTCAACGAATAATCTTTGAGCAAAATAAGTGGCGTTTGAATATCGCTCCTGACCTTCGTAATCCGACACGTTCGAGTCGTACAGTAGTAATTTGCGTTTGAATTGACTCGATAATTTGTCAATCGTAACGTTTTGCTAGTCAATTCGCAGAGTGTTCTATATATAAATTGTTCTATATCCTTTCAATTAGAGGCTTACCTTCAGTCTGAAAACAACTTTCCAAAGTCTTATTTCAGTTCTCACTTTCAATTTCTATTATGATAAATTGTAAAATAAATTTTCATAAATATTCATTAAATTTTTAAAATGTAGTGACTATATTATTTTCTCAATTGAGTTAATTCACAGGTTTTATCTAATTTGATATAATTTAAAGACATAATAGCAGGAGTGGCCAGATAATATCTGAATATTACAAAATTATTGTTCAATATCCAGTTATTACGGAATTAGTGTATAAATTTTTGCTTTACTACGCAGTCGAGTATGAAGTGTTGAGTATCGATACTTTTAAGTGCCCCGACGAATCGACGCTCACATAATCGCGTGAAATTCGTGACGCTCGACCGCTCGGCGCGACCTTGACGGGATCCTCGCGATGTCGGGTCGTCGACCTTCGCATCCCACGCTCGCGTCCGCACGAGAGAGTGAGTCGTCTGGACCATCCATCAGTTCCCTCATTCCCTTTTTCTTTCTCTTGCTCTCTCATTGAAACCAATAGATACAAAATTATGCGTCGTAACCTATCTCTCGGTTTTCTATCAATGGCGACTGGATTTTTATGATATTCATAATTTTTGTGAATCAGTCCGGATAATTCATTAAAAGCGAAATGCGTGAAAATTACTTTCTTGTTCACCAAGAATGCCGATGATCGAATATGGTTACGCAATGCCCGAACCACTTTCGAGGAGTCGAGTCGCCAAGATCGAGAGAGCTAAATGCTTTCTCTTCTTTCCAACCGCGGGATTACGACCTTGTCCCGGCTCTCTCGTCTCGGAGCCACTCTCGATTTCTTCCGGATAGGCCGGCCGACTGTCTACTGACTAATCTAGTGCGCCTTTTCTTTTCGCTTTCCGCAATGGCTTTCGGAGAATCGTTTATGTGAGAAATTTTTAGATTGTTCATTTATGATAATTATGCCATTGCATTTTAATTTGTACGTATTTACTTGTGCATTAGAAAATAGAAATTTATTTGAATATTATTAACGTAATTTATGAATATATATATATATATATATATATATCCAATTTAAACTAAACTGAGTATCACTAAGGTTAACGTGAACGTTTGTCAGAAACACACGATCGATTTGCGGTCGCAGAATGTTAGTATACTTGGCCTGTTGCGTTTCGCAGCGGAACCGAAGATGGCTAATAGAATGGCTGGCATACCTATGAGTATTGTTAGCGTCTATAACTGCTGCACTTTGTTCGCTTTCAAAGGAATGCGCGCATGGTGCAGCCGATTTGCACTCGCGTGCGCGCGAGTTCGTGCACCGTTCTGACATTGCAACACAATGCGCAATGTGCATATCCCTCAGGGATCCTCGTGACCGGTTTGCCGGAAAGACTCGCAACTCTGTATATTTCCCTTATTACCTGTAGCACAGCGTGACCTTGCGATCTCATAATATCAGGAATCGAGCGCTAGCCAAGCGAGAAGCATTAGAGCTTCTCGACATAGATCTTTACCATAATTATACAGAATACTTTGAAAATATTACTACTTTTCTTTGATTCCAATTCGGTCAATAACTTTTCAGTTCTACGTTACTGATAATTAGCTAAACAAAATTGACTTTATATGGTAGAAGAATTTATAAAAAAGAGTAATGAGTTTTGAAGTGGGTTTTGAGACAATCTATATTTTTTTTAATATTATGACATTTTATGCAACATAAGATAAATAAAATAATCTTTATAATCTCGTTGATAAATTTTAACTGATGAAAAATACCTTTGAAAGTACGTGTATTAAAAGAGAAATAATCATAGAAATCTAGAAATGGTATCATTTTATTCTGCAACTTTGTGCGATTTCCAAGTTTTACGCTTCACGATATTCTACTGATATATTCGCGATTCGTCTCGAGGATTTGCGCGTATGAACGTCAGAACGTATTACGTCCCGCAATCGCTGTTCATCCATTACGTGGATACTAGTCATCAATAACGGCCCCCCATCCTTCCGCGCTTCGCGGCGTCTTCGCGCTAGATGGATGCAATAACTTCTCATCGACGTGTAAAATCGTTCGCTGCGCGAAAGCTATATTCGTTCTCCGAATGTGCAGAACCACTGTGGGCAATCGTTTTCGCGGTGGTGTTTCGCCCGCCACGTGTATACGGCCGAAGAGACCCCCCGCGAGACGGGGTTAAACGCGCCGTTTAACCTGCGCCGTAGGTTTTCAGGATGGATTCGCATGATCCATCCTGCATCTCTGCTGTGAATAAGTTAAAACGAATTTACGCAATTCACTTCTTATAAGAAAATATCTCAAATCTATGAACAAGTTTATGTTTATAATCAAAGTTTAAATTATCCGACATAAAATCTTACGCTATTCGATAAACATTTGACTGATTAAAAAGACACGCAACTTACTTTGTATTAGAAAATAAAAATTCAATTTGTGAATTCGAAAAGTTGTGAAAACTTTTTTTTATATGAGTTTTGAGAAAGAGAATTTTTCATCATAATGAATTTCAAATCGCTTGAGATAATTCATAAATATTTGTTGCAATGTATAGTTATATATGTCTGTATGTGATAAAGAGCTTATAGCGTGCTTCCGAGGATCATCCAAGATGAAATATCATACTGTCATAGTCCTTTCGCGATTCAGCATGAATGAGTCTTCCTGCAACATTATTTACAAATTAATTTTTCTCTCGCGTCGTACGATCCTTCCGGGATGATCATTACAAGTGAACCGTGTAAATTCGCCTTTACGTACGGCACACGAGTGAGGCGTATCATCAGCGCCTGCTCTCGACGGACGGGCGGAGATGGTCTAACATTACCTCGCGTGGTCATAATACTGGAAGCGAGTTCGCGCCGGCGAAACCGGAAACGATTAGTCAGATTACGTGATCGCGGAGGCACCGTTGCCCGTTGCTGATGCACCGGACCCGCGGCCGACTGGCCGGTCGCTCGCCGCCGATCCCGCACTAAGTAAGTACGCGATCGCGTACATACATACTCGTTCCGATCGGTCCTACTACCAGTAATCGCGAGAGCACGCGCATTCATACGCAACACACCGGCCGCGGCCTCGCTCTCGTCCGTGCCGGAAAGCAGCAGTGGTGGACTTGTTTGATCGCATTAAGTCGGCATTACCGCCGCTCATCTCGTATCAACGACTCAGGAACGACCGTTGCGCACCGCTCCGCTCCGATCGGCCCGATCTTGATTCCGCCGGATTACACGCGACGCTATGCCAAGCCGTATGTATGCTCCGAGAACGCGGTGCCGTTGAACCTGAACAGGTTGATTCAAAGAAAGTTAATTCACAGAGAGCGTTTATGCACTCGTTCGTACAACTTGGGAATTTAATTGGGAAGATCATTATTTTTCAGACTTATATTTTCATAATAATAAGTGAAAGAAATAAAAAACAAAGTAGATGTAATTCAAATTATTAAATAAAACAACGTAATATTTTAATAGTTTTCTGACTCTTGTAAAATTAAAAATAAACTTTAATTCAAAATAAATTTCTTATATGTTGCACAAAACAAAATTAATCTAATTAATCGGATCAACCGAGCAATATATTTTTCTCTACCTGCAGCTTTTTCACGTGCGTGATCGCATTAAGTTAATCGCATTAACGGTCGCGTTTTATTTTGCCACAGCTCTTCTCGACAAATCAGAAAGAACTAAAAATAATGGTAAAGCGATCTTGACTCTTCCTGATCGCGAGCAGCAGTAAGCAAGGTATGATGCTGTAGAATCTTGTACTGACAGTAAAAACATCATTCTTGATAACGCTTGCACTTCCTGATTTATTTGACAAATGAATCCGTGTGCACGGCAGCAAGATTTTAATTACCGCGATTTAATTATCTCGGAGTAATTTATTAGAACTTTCTACGTAAGAACGTGCTAAAATTTTCATTACTATTAACACGATTGCGCGATAGAATCTTTAAATTACGTCTGAATGATATCGGTTACATGATACAAAAATTTTTAATGTAAAAATCTTATATTTCTACACAGGGTGCAATAATTGTTTTCTTGATTACGTGAAAGTTAAGTGCAATTTGCAAGCATTTTTTATCTATCTTTGATTAGGTCGATTAACAATAAACGAAGATCGAATAATATTTTTTTCTGTGCTGATATAATAAGTAATAAGCGCATCAACGTCAGGATATGATAATACGTGGTACGCGAGATTTGAAAAAGGTCTAAACCTACGCACAAAGTTCAATTCTGCAAACAGATTGCATTGAAAAGTTGAATAATCCAATCGAGAAGACAAGATGATAGCGCAAGACAAGAAGACCGCTGGCGATTTTACGCAACTATGCTGATACACCTACGTATTTCACGCAAGGGGAAGATAAATTAGGGAGATACGTAATATTATTTTTGTCCGTGTGGCTATAACTTTTAGATATGTTTTATGATAGTCTCCTAGATATTGTCGCCGGTGAAAATGCAGATGCTCAGTTTAAAGTCTTTAAAATAATAATTAATTTTACAGCCTTTCGTTGAAGTCATATAATAAAATTGAGAAATTTATCTGGTTATGCCACAAGTAAACAAATAAATCGTCTAAGATAACAAGTATATACGCAGGCGTATACATGACCGAAAAGTAGTGAGTAATACGGATAAAGAAATACGCAAAGTGCATTTTTCGCCCGACGTCCTTCGACTCCGCGATAACGATTGACCCCGAAAGACAGTTCGCGTTTCCCAGTGCAGCTATGATAGAGCGATAGAGCGATAAGATTTTGTTTTATAGCGATTCATCGAGGATCTCGAAAATTACGACCAGCGAAATACGATGAAACTTACGCTCTCGATCGTATCCTCTTTACGACTGCAATAATGCAACCGTGTTTACGACTGACGGGTCTCTTTCTCTCCGGCGAGGTACGACGGTTCGACGCGCCGCGGATTTGCAACGTAATCCCTCGCGATGTAACGACAATATGCTCTCGGGAATTCACGCGGGGCTTCTCTCTCTCTCCCTCCCTCCCTCCCTCTCTCTGTCTCGGGGTACCCTTGTAATTAAGGCTGCCGCCGCGAGCGTTGTCGGCCACGCCAATGCGGAAAAGTGCGGACCGAAACGGATAATAATTGCTCGCGGCCCGGACCCCTCGATACGACATTATAAAGTCATCATGGGCAAGGGGGCACGCGCGCTATTCTCAGCCGCGGCAACTTTTTCTGGGTAATGCCGATCCGCGAAGATCTGGATCCCCGACGCGCCGCTCATCAATTATGAGTTACGATCGCGCCTCAAGGCTCCACCAGCAATCTCGGCCTCGAATCGAACGTCCTCCGCGCGCGCGCGCGCGCGTGCTCACCGCGCCTTTTCCTCCGCTGCTGACGTTAACTATAAATTGCCTATCCTGCCTTTTGGCAAGCGAGTAGTAAGAATATTCTCGAGTGTTTATTGTCTACCAAAGGCGGCGAGCCTTTGCTTTTTTTTCGAAGTAGTAAGACATGGGTTGAAGACATAGAGTTTCAAGAAACAATCAATCATATAGAATCTAATAGACTATCTTTTTTCTGCTTCCTCTTTGAGTAAAATATAGAAGATTGCAAATAATCGTAGAAAGCGTTATAATAATATTCAATTTAAAATTAAGAAAAAATATATTTTACGCGGAAATTTTTTATTATAATTATTTTCTAATATGTATAATTACAATTAAATACATTTATATATTTATTACGTTACATATAAAATAGACAGAAAATTTCTTATTTAATTAGAAATATTCTGTAGAATATTATATATATTTTTTTAATTTTTTGTAAAGTTAAATATATTAAGAAATTGTTAATATTTTCTTCCTTATTTTGCGGGAATGATTACAGATAGAGATCTCTAGTCGGGGAATTGATAAACGTTTTCAATTCCACACCCATAATTTTGCTATCGAGAATCTCCGTCCAGAGTAAAGATCTCTTTCAAGTAGACACGCAAATTAACTAACGGGAAGGATTCTCTTAGCGCTAGCGATATAATCCGCCACGGTTCGACACTTCGATGATATTGCGTACCGCGTGTAGGATCAGAACGACGAATACGCGCGTATCCACAGCGCGTCATTAGGGCGTTTCGCCGGCGGCGGTGACGCGTCGCCGCCACGAATCTGCCCAGCGATGGAGAAAATGCGCGGAAAATGCGGAAAATTATATTCCATACGACGCGTCCACGTATTCCTGTGAAACGTGTTCGTTGCACACAAGACAAACAGGTTGCTTTATAAATAACACGCGATGGCATTGCAAAGATATCGTGACCATAACAATTTTAAGCATTTCCATATACAGGGTGTCCCAGAATGATTGTGTCACGAGTGGGTAAAGAAGAGTAAGTTGAACAGAAAAGTCCTTTCCCGTTTTGCAGTTTTCGCAATAATTATGGAGTTATTAATTATATAACGTATGTTGGCGCAATCATTCTGAAACACCCTATAGAACTGTAGTATTGTTTCAGATATCATTGTATAATAATATAAACGTATTTATATTTTACAGATAAATTTTGTGCGCGTAATCGGTACGAAATAAATTCGGTCCGTCGTAATATTTATAACAAAATGCGCGTCGGGAGTGCCGTTTAAAGTGTCGCGCGATTTTCTCATTCGGGTACGCACGCGAGCAAGGCGTGCGCCGCGGACGCGTGTGAGTGTATCGAAGAATGCCTGTGAGTGCATCAAAGAACGCTGGGAGGAGAAAGAGGAGGCATTGGGCGGCAGCAGAGCAACGATATGGTGAGTAATTTACTATAAAAAATGCATTTCTTTACTGATAATGAAGAGGCTATACATATCATGAGTCTCTTAAACGAGATAATCAATGAAATCTGTTCAAATTGAATCTAAAGTTTAAATCGTGATATTGAAATAGATTTATTATGCTTATATCGTGACGAAGAATATTTTCGTTACGTCGAGGTGGTCTTCCGCGAGATTTTATTGTTAATATTCATACGTGAGACAACGCGTCAGCACGTGTCTTTCTCGACGCCCACCTTGATCGGATCGATAGCGGAGATGGAAATCGATTAATCCCCGAGACTTACGTAACGTATCGGCGCCGATATCACGCCCCCGCCGTCCCAGAAAAGGGAATGGTTATGGTAATAGCGAGGTTCGTGCTCGTATCTTGCGACCTGACATCGCGCCGTCCAGCATCGCGAGACATCTCGATGTAACGTAATTGCGCCATGATTGCATCGTCGCTTTCGCGCTCGTGTGTCGATCGAGATATACGGCTTATAACTTATATATATATGCGGGCTATAAAAGCGAAATTTCTATTCTACCTCATCTCAAAGTGAAATCTAAATGTTTGTTTGACATAAACACAGCATGATATTAGCTTCTAACGAATATTAAAGATCAGATGTGTTAGACTATATTAGCGTTACGTAAGAAATATTTAACTCTTCTTCCTCTCTCTCTCTCTCTCTCTCTATTACAACGTGTTTCAACATATTTTGCGCGTAATACGCAAAGTTATGAAAACATAATTACAGGATTATTTTGTTCAACGCATTCAGAGATTAATTTCGTGCCGTGTTTTTTTACGATCGTAGATTTATCGCTTCTGACATGTATCTTAGAATATTAATTACTTATTGCCCTCGAGATTCTTTATTCTGATTTTTTCACGGGAGCTTTTTGCTACATCTTGAAGTTATTAATAATTAATTATACGATATGTAGGCCATAATCCACATTATACAGCATGCTGATGGTATATTCATAAAGAACTGTCTCGCATGCATACCATTTTACATACTAATTTTCAATGTCAGTCTTCTAAGACAACTCTCCGGCGTTACTACATACATGTAGTGAAAATCTCTAAGAGGATTAAAAATATCTGGAGTTAGTATACATTGCGCGAAACGAAATCAGAAGTAAAAGGCATCGTGGCTTCTATTCAAAAATAAATTCACGTGTCCGAGATTGATGTATAAGGTTGACGAGCTCAGCGAGCGGCGGGTTGGAATAAATTATGTTAACAGCAGGTGCAGCGGCGGTGCATCCCCTTCTCCCCTCCCCCCCTCCTCTTCTCTCTCTCCTTGCGTCGAGTTGTGCGGAACGTCACGGAGAGAATCGGCGCGATGCGTAGGGCTAACCGGCGATAAACAACGATAAATTCCTCCCACGTACGCGGCGGAGAGTACGAGAGTCGGGAATACGCGCGCATACGTACATACACGATGCCTCCTCCTCGGGAGGTAATTTCAATGGGCTCGCGTACCGCGCGCCGCGGCGCGCACAGCGCGCGGCGCAAACGTGCCCGCGTAGCTGATGCATAAATACCTATAAATATGACACGGCGGGGCCCGCGGTAACGTCGCATATTAAATTACATTCTTAAGCAGCCGCACCGGCTGGTGCGCACGGCGGAGGCCGGGCAGTATGGCGCGCATCAAGTCAGCGGGGCTGATTAAACGCAACCACGGAACGTGGTGCATCGGCACAATGAGACGGACGGAGAGAGAGAGAGAGAGAGAGAGAGGAAGAACCGCCGCACTCGGCAAGCGAGAGGCACGGTCGTCCTGTTCGGGGCATTCCCCGGACGTGCCTGATTCAAGCGGCGTAAGAGTTGCTGGAGAGATATGAAGAAGCGAGGAGGAGGGATACGCGAGGAAGGCACGAGATAAAGAGAAAGAGAGAGAAAGGCGAGCAGGCATACACCACCGGAGGCTAGGGATGCTAATTATTCTGGTTCATGCGAGCAATTTGTCGGGTACCCGGGGAACGTATGTTTAATATCCGCGGGGCTCCCGAGTGCCCGCGGGTATTTACATCTGCGGCGAATACCGCGGCTGTAACGCGGTACGTCGAGAATTATCCCGGGATTACAGTGTGTGCCTTGCGAGCCAGCGAGCGAGCGCGCGCGAGGCCCTCCGCGGTGGCGAAATCGTGAATGTGCGGCTCGTACGTACGTAAGGGTAGCAATCTCGGGACGATGTGCACGCGCATAGGGTTAACAGGAACCGAGATTTTCCAAGCCACGCTGCTTCTCCATCGGGAATGTGTGTTATCACGCAGAGCGGACTCGTACAGTTTTTTTTTCTCCTCCGCTCGACACAAATTATGCGCTGGTCATTCCACCGAGATGTATCTCAATGTATCTGGAATATTAGCGCAGTTCGTGGAATATGTACTTATGCAGGAACTGCGCTTCAATTGCAGAGGTAACATCGGCTCTACGCTCGACGGTATTTTTCTTGAATAACATCGATGACACGCGAAAAACGAATTAAATATTACGAGATATTTATTAATTCAGTCGTAAAAAATAGTTTTCTTCATAATAGTTTTATATTATTTATTAACTAAGATGCTTTTACCTTATAAATTCTATTAAATTCGTATAGAAGAATTCGAAAAAACACGTGAAAGAATATATTTAATACATATTTTATATGTTACAAGAGAAATTCAAATTAAAACAATCCTAAAATAGAACGAAATGTGGATTTTAAATTTCCGTGGAATTTGATCTCTGTGCACGAAGCTTGTATTTCGCAAAAAGATGAAAGCGATATGAAGGGATAAAATCTTGCACGAAGAATGTACCGTGAAGGATCGAGAATTATTCCTGGATTACAGCCGACGCGTGCACTCGTAACTTTTCTAGATCGGGACCCGTTCCCGTTCGTCCGCAGTGGTGGTAAAGGTTTCTCGCTAGAGTAGCAATCTGCGGGATGCACGTGGGGTTAACAGGATCTCTACTTTGATTCTTCTTCCTGCTGCGAGGAGGATCGCTCCAATTTCACAGTGGGAACACGTGATATTAAGTCGCGGTCGAGTACTTCATCGCCGGAAGCTAAGACTTAATCGTTTCTCCGGGAGCACTCGTTACAAATACACATTCCTCATGACAAGAGGGGGGAGGGCGGGAGATTTATTGCGCTCGGCGAATGTGTGTTATCATGTCCCAGCATGGATGTTTAGTTAATGGAAATTGCGGCCATTTGACAAACAGTCGGAATCGGGACGGTTCTTTTTTTCCTCACCAACTCTTGAACAAGAAAGATTCCGTATTTCTACATCTCTCTCCGGGCGAATTTCTTCAATATGCGAGTCGTGACTTACTTATTAACTTTTGGCCTTAACAAGATCTACGCTCGCGCGTCGAGAATCCAGGTAGATAATTCTATAAATAAACTCTCCGGCTGCCGATCGAAAATAGCTATTACGAAAGACTCGGTCGTCTCGGGTGTCGGAAGTCTGTCTCGATAGGACGATAGGACTGGTTCATCGAAATTTCATGGGTGTGGCCATTAAAATCGGTTATGAAAGGCAGCTGCGCCACTGCGGAGAGGGTCCGAAGCGTGAGCCGCGCGAGCTGTAAAATTCTGAGAAGCCTGGCTTCTCGTCGCGCGTTGCACAACGCCGCCGCGCCCGCGCCTCCTGTACGCTCGACACAATAATTCATTTACCGAACGGCGAACACAAACCCGACGTTACTGAATGCCGCTCACGTCTCGGAATTCGCGTAGAAAAGCGTCTTTTTTCGCGCCTTCGAATGAAGTACAATAGACGGCTCTGTGTCGACAAAGAGTGTGGCCATTCATTCCCGAAATTTTTGCATCTCGTATGAGGCGTGAAAACATGACGACGTAAATTCAGTTGCTTCGAGGCAGAATATGTTAATTCGATTTTTACGAGATTAATTAAGTTGTCTTCGACTAAGTTGATGAAATAAATCAAGGAGGATTAATGTTATAGTAGAATCAGAGGGAAAGATTTAATTAAAGTTACCGATTTAATTAAATTTCTTATTTATGAACAAATTAGTGGCCTCCGATTACGAGATTTCTTACAGCGAAATTTTTTATTATAGATGGATACACGTAGAAAATGAGATGTATATAGATAATGAATGTATTAATATGTTAATTAGCAAATTGCGGAATGTGTTTCAAGGCTCAACTGCAACCGTTTGCGTTCCAAGAAACGCCGTGCGATTTTCTCAATAACGTAGCTTATGCATTACGTTCAAACGGACTCTATACGCCTGTTTCCTTTCAAACTAGTGTTCACACTTGTATCTTGAACTGATCACGATATAAGATGGATTTCAAAGTTGTTGCGTCATAAACGCGATGCTGTTGATGTATATACCTTTAATGATTCGCGATTTTAAAATCACACATCTCGCGAGATAATAAACGGGCGAGTTGATTAAGAATAAATAATAACGAGAATGTATTTAAGTTCGCGCGATTATCCTAAAAATCGCGGTATCCGGTTAACGTCATAAAATACGGCGGAGGCATTAAAATGCTATCTTCATGGACGACGGCAATTAAAACTTTAATCTGTGGACACGCAGTCGTATAAATCGCCCGCGGTGCTGCCGAGTAACGAGAAGGAAAAAGGGTGTTATTAGAAAAGACATAATAATTCACATAATAATTCTTTAATTCACGGATATCAGCGATGTTCAATCGTATGTGGAAAATTATAAAGAGATCAACATTTATCTTCTTCGCGGATTCTGATAATAAAATATTGATAGCTTTGAAAAACGCGACGCGTTGAGAGAAAATTCTACCCTCGATATTTTTCGAGTCGTATCAATTAAAAGCGCGTTTAATTCTTTAGAAAATTAAAACTCTATTTCACATTGAATAATACAGTTACAATTACCGATGAATCAAAGTGTGCGCAGAACCGCCGACACATTTTGTCTTTTAACACGATAACGCGCTCGCGAGATATCGAGGTCGAAGCGCGCGATA